GTTTTTATTCCCTTTGTAATCTATTTACCCTATTTTTTTGTGGGGACTTTTTAATTTATTTAAACACATAAGGATTATTGTAAGAAAGTTCTATAATTATTACAGTTGAGTTTTTCTGCATAATGACCATAAGAATAGTTACCTAAAAAAAAAAAATCTCCATTTCAATGACAACAAGTGATCCTGATCAAAAGAGAATAAGACTTGGGATGAGGCCTTGGATTACTGCAGAGAGAACGTAACCATGACCTGGGTCTACCATCCACTGACAGTGCACCAGCAAACGATGGGTCCAAAAGAGAGCCAAGATGGCCGACACTGAGTTCGTCTGGCTGGGAATGCGCTACATCCTGCACTTTGGATCTGTGGTTCTGGGTCAGTGATCGTCTTGGTCCTGCTATCACAATGGGCCAAGAAGAGAAGATTGAGGGTTGTGACAGGGCCACAGCCCATGAAGAGAGATGGGAAGTGGTATGAAGGAGAAAGGGGAATCTCTTAATTTTATCTGCGCGCTACATTTTTTAAACCCACCGGTGTATTTATATAGGCTTACTCTACACTGACTGTTCTTGGGTTTTTTAATGGCACAATGACAGGTAAATAAAATCACAATCTGAAAGATGTTAGAAACATAATATATAAAGGTATAACGCCAAGTGTATCATATTGGATACATGATTTGCTGAGACCTCTACGTCATCCAAATGACTAGTAGGCCTACATTCCTAAAATACCTGTTGTATACAATGTGATTCGAATGTGATAAATGTCTTCTGCCCTCTGGTGGATCATCCGGGCACTGCAGGCTGTAGAGCGCTTTTAATGACCAAATCCAAAATGGCTACCGTCATGTAACGGTTCAGACGCTTTTGGAAGCGACATCTTTGCCAATATTGAATAAATTACGGTAAAAATTACTTTTATATTGTTACTGATATTTCACTATGAATATGTACTGTATTGAAGCAATTTATAATCAGTTTATATTTTGTAGCTTATTTCATAGAAAAATCGTGTTGAAAATGTATCAAATGTAGTATACAGCAGGTATTTAGTTGTGTACATTTCATGATACAATCTGCATTATGCTTACCACAATGCCAAAAACACTGTTCAGATTATTTAATTAAACTAATTAAAGATTAAAATGTAATATATTAAAAGTCAAAATTTAGATATTTACGTGTTTTTTTTGTAACCCGGTCATTCTGTAACCCGGTGAGTCAAATGTTGCAATGACTCACTTGCTAATAATTGCCACAATTTATAGATTTTTTCATTAAAACAATTCCTTGGCTATCATAATCTATGTTGTATTGACCAAGTCAGAAAGTACAACATAATTTGTGTTTGCATGTACTTTTAGATGGCAAAGAAATACTCTGTATTTATATAGCCTGTTGGTTCGGGTTGTGACATGTTCAAAATCTTCCAAATGTAATAATCAATATTTGTTTCAAAAGGAGACGTTGTTTTGTTCAATAAATTGCCATAAACGCCTGACGTATCAAATATGATACCAAAAAAATCATATATGTAATAATTACCAAATATTTTTTATGAGATAAGAAAGTCGAAATTATGAGATAAAAAGTCATAATAATGAGATAAAAAGTCGAAATAATGAGATAAAAAGTCATAATTATGAGATAAGAAGTGCGCATTTGCTGCAGTGGCGCTGTCTTCAAAGGTCCCTTCATCACCTTGCTGCTCTCCACCATGCAAACGGCATCTAGTCCTAAATAAGGTAACTATTACAGGTGACTTTTGTAAATGTTAGATGTTACATATAGCCTATATTGCAGCTAAACTACAACAATGCAGTTCATAGCTTTGACATTACCTGTTATGAACTATAATATACATATGCCTATAGTTTTGTGGTAACGTTCACGGGTTAGAGTTAGGCTAGCAACTCACAGCAGCAGTATGCCTACACTATTGTCATTGGTGGCGTGAACGTTACCACAAAACTATAGGCATGAGAGATAACTACAGCAGCCTTCATTGTTTATTCAATATAGAATATTATCATGTTTTTCTTTTAAAGTGTGGGTTTTTTATGTATTTCTTAAGGTATTTGTTGTATCCCATTGGTGGAGTTCAAGAAACAATTAACCTATTCTGCTTTGCTATAATAAACATTTCATATACTCACTTTATCACATGTTTTTAATTTCCAAGATGTATTTCAAATTGGATAATAATGTTGAAATATGTAAAATCATGATTATTTTATGTAAACAATTGATTTTTTTCTGACATTTAATAAACTGTTAACCATGGTTTGGGCTTGATCTTCTTGCAATGTAGGCCCTATGGCACACACACAATACACACACACTTCAGATTTAAAGATAGAATTTAAAAAGGTAATTTCCAGGCCAAATCAATAAAGAGGAAAATAAAGTAGAAAAAAGGTAAATAAACTAGTAATTCATACTATTCCATGTATGCTTACCATACAGTAGTTCTCATCCTATTTATATTTATTTTATTTTTAAGGCAAACACAAGGACAGACCTTCACTGCGGTGTGTTTTTTCCCCTTTCTTAGGAACTTCCCAAAGACCTTTTTGGGAAGTTTCTGCTTTCTGCAAAACATTTTTGTCTATATTTGAATTGTTGATGACAATGGGGTTAAATCCATTCCATAATGTAACACCGATTATTGATAAACTGTGTGATTTCAAAGTTGTTCTGGGGGCTTGATCATGGCTAGAATGGGTGATCTATTTGGTATTTTGAGCAAACCACTTCAGATACATTAATATATTTTTATATCTGAGACCAATGCTATTGCCTAAAAATAGCATGATAGGTGACTTTTAATACATGTAATTTAAAGTGTTCTTTGCCAAGACGAAAGAACAATAACCAAATGGAACAAATATGGACTGATTGATCTAATATTATTGTAATATAATGTATTTTTTGGAGAGAATCTGCCAAATTAAGAAACATTCATTCAGAGTATGATCGTTTTCTCTGACCACCTACACAAAACGCTCTAACAATGTTCATTATAATGATAAATAAGACAAAAACCGCAAAATTCTCACAGTTATAAAGTTCGATTTTGGCTTTATAAATAATAAACACACTGTACTTTCTTATGTTATATAAAGTTAAAAACTATTACTATTGCTCTGTATAATTATTATTTAATTGTTACCGTCCTTTCAAAAATATTCCATAAAAATCACCAGAGATAAATTCATGCTTAATTTACTGTCGTTTATTCTGGAAACACGAAACTCCCCCTTTAATTTTTTGACGCGATGACGTCACTTCCACTTGTACGTACAATCCGGAAGTGGGTTCGTTCGTTGTTGTGATATTTGAGGAAATCTGGGCGAAGTTCACTTGCAAAAAGTGGGACAAAAAACTAACATTTATCAGATTTCGGGGGTGAGCATGGAGGTAAGAGTAGTTGGTATTCCAAATGTCTGACTTAATAAAAGAATCATCTTTGTCTTCATATGTGATTTTTAGTTTTAACACACGATCTTTGGTGGTCAAAAATCTACTGTAGCAAAGCTAACACATATGTGGGATAGGAATAGAAGAACAGCGTGACAGGCCACTTCCTGTCCGGGCTTTTCAAAATAAAATCTCTAGCAAAGAAATGAGCCTGAACAAAACGTGATTTTTAGCATATAGAAACACAACATTCAATTATTATTTTTGTATATATATTTGTTCTACTCATGGTACAGACGACTCCTTAAAAAAAAAAGGTGATCTTACTTTTGCATAACATATATATAACAACAAAAGTAGATAGTTTGTCAATTAGCAATTCTTACAGTTACATGACACAATTAAGAAATAAGAGCATTGAGTATGAAACATACAACATAATTGATATGGAAGAATATTAGAGCTAAGAATGAAAAATGTCGAGAACACAGTTTATTATTTATTATTACATGGTTTAGTTGAATACTCGATTCTGATTGGTCAATTCAGAACACGTGACACGTTGTTAACCCAGAACAGACAGAGACAGACCGCTGTCAAGGATTTATTGACCGTTGTTAAGGACGCTTACAACTGCAGAAAGAATTCCGGTCGATTGAACTGTTTACAGTTTGGCCGGTAGTTTGCTTTTCAAACTGGGACAAGAAAACAGCGGAGAAGTAACGGGGCAGAAACCCTCCTTTTTACGCAACGGTCCAGCCATAGACATCAAACGGCAAAACATATTCAGTTGCCAGTTACTTTGCCATTAGGGTAGGGATACTTTCCAAGGTTTGACATAATGAATTGTGCTACTTTTAAAGCAAGCAGCGATGTTTTCAAATCTTTAGTCAAAAAGCTCCGCAAAAACGCTATCGAAGCAGTGCCTGCCGTTGCTACGTTAGTTCAAACAGTAACAAAGGACTATTTTTCTTAGCGGATGCATGTCATTTTAAATCAATAATAGCCTACTATTTTTTAAATCAATAAAAACATTTTCTTTATCTATAAAAGCATTTCAATTAATATTGGGAGTCATGTCGTTACTTTGTTGAGAATGTGGCCTTTGTATTACATACAAAATAAAAACAAATCAAAGGAGGAGGAGTTTTTATTGCAAATTAAGAATATAGTTAAACAAATTAAAATAAACTTGCATTTAAAGATTCAAGTTAAACTTGATAGCATATATCAAACTACTATTATTAATGCAAACTATGCAAATGTATCTTTATACCCCATATGCAATACAACAAAGTAGTGCTGTATTCACTTGATGGTGAAGATGAGGAAGAGTATAGTGCCACTGTGCCAGGCATAGGGAAAGATATAAGATAATAATGCATCGCGAGAATAATGTGTATGCACTAAAAAATTGACTTTAATTTAGAAATGTCAAGTTTATTCCTCAAAATATATTGACTGTATTTTCAAAATAAAAAAGCAAATCCTCCTCCTATTGGTATATATTTTATACCTAGCCCTACTAGTAGAAATTCAGCTCAACAATATATATATATTCTATCGACCTATTGAACGTATTTCTACAAAAAAAACGAACAACATTTCCTCGTTTTTCTTTGCAATCCACTTTATTTTGAAAAATGCATTGCTCAACACCCGGAGCTGACAACCTTCCATTCAATCCATGCTCCGTGGCTCTGGATCTATTGAGCAGCCTAAAAAACACGAAGCAAAAACCGGGGATTCGGTCTGCCTTCCTCCGCTGTCAGTCAGACACATTAAGACAACCGTAGTCCTTTTTTTTACAGACGTATCTAGCAGTCATTAACAGTGACGTTTAATCTACCTGTGCACGTTCTGCGGCTGTTGGTTAAATGTGACGTTTGAGGACAACACAGACAATCGGGCGCCGGGCTTGTCGCTGCAGCTTTGCGTCAAAAGCAGCTAAAGCTAAACCGTGGTGCGACAAGTCAGCAAGAAATACGCGTTAACAGCCACGTTTCCAGACAGACAGCACACAGGTTATTTTGGGTACGGTTGCTGTCGTGCACATGCTGCGTTTTAGTGGTGTGAGCTAATCAAACATCTGTGCAAAAGCTGTCAGAAGAAATAGCAGATTTAAACTCGGTATTTAGGGGTCGCTTTTTCTCAATTACCAGCTTTCTGACTTGGACTTTAACTACACATTTTGGAAAACAGGTTAACAAATAATAGGAGATTTATTTAATTGCGAAACATTTTGTTGGATTTAAGAGGGGCCTCATAGCGTTTAATACATGAGGCCCAGTTGACAAAGATGGACCTGAATTTTTATTCGGATTTAACGGACGGTACCGGGCAGCACGACGGTGACCCAGAGTTTCTGGACCCGCAGGCTTTCAATGGATTTGACTCAGACAACAAGGTGACTCTATGTTATGATAGGGGGCCACATGCAAACCAACAGCATGCTACTTATTTTGCATTTGCTTTGAATATGTCTAACCAAAGTCATTCAACGTCAGCTGTTTTAAGTCACTTAAACCCCCCCACTTCGTTAGAATTGATTTTATGTGATTTTTATTTTTCATTTATCCTTATTTTATGTATTTTTATTGTATTATTTTCTATGTGTTTCACTCTGTGTTCTTATGTTTAGATGCTGTTGTTTAATTAACTTGCTCTTTGTATTTTTGTATGTGAAAGCACTTTGTTACTGTGTTTTGAAAGGTGCTATATAAATAATGTTTTTATTAATATATATAAGTGTAGATATCTGTTTGTTGCTTGATTATTATAATCCCTAAAGGTAGTGGAGTATAAAGTACAATATTGGTTTTCAAATTTTAGTTGTGTAGAAGGATACAAAAACATACAAATAAAATATTCAAGCATAGTACAGGTAGCCCAGAATAAAGTATTAAATGTACTTCAATACATACACCACTGGTATCAAAGTCAAGTCAAAGTCAACTTTATTGTCAATCTTTCATTTTGTGTGCACAGACAATACCGTTTCCCACAATCCCGAATATATGGTATTGGAGAATGTGTATGTTTCCTTCTGATTCAACACCCTTTTCTAACTTTTCCACCTTTTATGTTTCAGTTTCCTGGAGGCAGTGACAACTACCTGACCATCTCCGGGTCCGGGCATCCCTTCCTCTCCTCCTCAGAGGTAGGCGTTCACATTTTGGATTACCTGGCTTTTTATTTCCCTCTGACAGGTTGTATTTCTCCCTGCTGTTGACCTACAAAGTGTTACCACAAATTAAGCTGCTTTTTAAATCTCTTAGTTAACGTCACATCAACCATGCATACACTTAATCATCTCTAACGTAACTTCTAGCGGTTGGCAACCTTTATTTTGTAGCTATTAAACCATGTTAATATTTGTTTTTGTGTCATTTGTGAATGGTACAATATAAGGTATGTATGAATCGTTTTGTCACTGGTGCCATGAGTACATATAAAGTCAGTTTTAGTTGACCCATGACATTTGAAATCAACTCACTGACATACTCACATTTTTTAGTGTGCCACTAAACCCATTGACCTCTTCAACCTCGCTGGATCTGCTGGTGGAGTATGAATTATTTTTAATATATCTCACTACCCCTCCTGCTTCAAATCAGACACCTTTTTTTATTTTGTTTTTTCATGTCAGTAAGGGGAGATGAATCATCAAACACGTCATGTCAGGATAGGAATTTAAAATAACACCAAACTGACTCATCCAAAGTGACATTTGTTCATCGGGGCGTTGCATTTCAGGGTTATAGAAAAGCAACTTTTTTTTTTAAGTGCTTTTTTGTCAGTGGGGTGCCTCAGACAAAGCGTTAGAGAATAGTAATAATATCACAACTACAAACCTAAATCGTAAACCTCAACCTATTTCCTGCAGTGGTGGTTTTTCTGCACAAACTTGTTGTTAATAATGCGATAATCAGCGTTCTCCAGCTGTGAGGTTTTTTATTTTTTGGATTGCATGATCAGTGGACTGTATCACAAAGCAAGATGAACGAAGTCTTTCCCTCTTTGAGCTCAACCATCGATTAGATTCGTTTTTTTTATGAAAAGCTGAAAAAACAAGTGATCGCTTTGTCCGTGATGTTTTGTCTTTTGCCACATCTAATTAAAGATATCATTTAAAGGCATTGAAACTAAGGTTTTAGTTGTAATTTGTTTTATTTTAACTGAGCTAGCTTTGCAATGCAGGGCGGGGTTGTTCTTGTGTTTAATTTCCCCTCTCTTTCCCCTATTCTGACACCTGAGTTTCGATGGCAAGCTAACCCGCTTATCTTGCTTTGTGACACGAGCTTCCACACTCAGAAATGTCGCACTGTGTACACATTTCCTGATCCGATCACTCCTGACACAAAATACGTGTTTAATAAACCTGTAATTCCTGACTAATCCTCTCCTTCTTTTATAACTCTCTTACCTTTCTTTCCAAATGTTTTATTTGACTCCTCTGCACCCCAATTTCTCACAATGGTGTTTTCTCTCTTCCCTCCATTCTTATCTTTTCTACCTCTCTCTCTCTCTCTCTCTCTCTCTCTCTCTCTCTCTCTCTCTCTCTCCTACCTACCTACCT